CGCGCCCACTGGGCTGCTGCGCGGGCGGGCCCGGGAAGCCGGGACCCGCGCGACCCTCGTCTGGGGAAACTTCGCGTCGGCGATCCCAGCTGCTCCTGGGCGGTCCTGCGTCCTCGGGCGGCGGGGTCGGAGAAACCAGCCCCTTAGGTGCGCACCCTGTCGCTCCCTCGACCCGGGTCGCAGCGTCCTCGCCATCCCTCTCGCTCCTCGCGACCCCGCCGCTCCCCGCCCGCCGAGGCCGGGGGCCGCTGCTCGCCCCGCGGTCCGCATCCACCCGCGCAGAGCCCCCGCGCGGCTCTTTGCGTCTCGCAAAGGTTTCTGGTGCATTGATGGAAACAACCGTACTTTGAGCGGTGCCAAGTATTCAACTGGAGTATTTCTCTGCGATGGTAGATGGTGTGCACAGGGCTAAGCTAGGTCTATTTTTCCAAGTACTTTTGCTCAGAGCGAAGTTGTGTGTGTGTGTGGTGATGCGGTTGGGGGGGGGGGAGTTGCCTTAAGTGGATTGTGTAACTATTTAGGTAGACGTTGCCAATGGTACCAGCCAGTGTTATGGTAACTGGGCATCCCGGAGGCAAAGGAAGAAATGCTTTACACATGCACTTTGACAGTGTAGGGATTTTTTTTTGGGGGGGAGGGTAGTGTAGGGATTTAAAAAAAAAAAAAAAAACGGCAGAAAACCACCTTGTACTTTCCGCCCAGCGGGACCTTAAGGCATTTGGCGTGTGTTAACTCGTTAGCTGTTCATTATAGTTTATAAGTGGAGAGCATTACCCTCCCGTTTTACAGATACAAAGCGGAGGCGAGTGAGCTGGAGATTGCCCGAGCTTAAAGGAATATGGATCTAGAGTTTTAAGCAGTTTCTTGGACTTCCTACCCTTAACCAGCCCCTTGGAAGCACAGTATAATGAATGCTGAATGTCCTCCCTGTGCTTGTACAGATCAATTAAGTCAGAGGCCGGGGCCAGCGGTCAGCAGCTTCATGCCCGCCACTCGGCTCTGTCGCAAAGTTAAGTGACACTGAGCAAGTCACAACTTCTCTGCTAGTTTTCTACTCCTTAAAAACGAGAAGAACAGGGGCTGGGGATTTAGCTCAGCGGCACAGTGCCTGCCTGGCAAGCGCGAGGTCGTGAGTTCCATTCCCGATACCGGGAAAACAAAAAGCAAAAAAAAAACCAAACAAACAAACAGAGGTGCCGTGTTCTTTGCAAAGTTGCATGCTCTGGAGGAAGATCCATTGTCTGGAGCTGCAGTGTGGTTATGGTTGTGGCCTCAGAAAGGCCCTCCGGGTTCCGGGTCCCTTAAGAAATGCCGGGAATGAGGCGCCCCCAGTGAATACCCAACCGCCTCTCGTTCGACCGACAGAGAGAGACACTGAGGATTGCCACCCGACCGGTGAGGATTGAGAACTCCCCGGAGGAGGGAGGAAGGAGCCCTGCACAGGCGGCTTGACACATGGGCCCCATTCCTGCCTCCAGCTCTGACTCACCTTCTGACGCTTGGGGGAGGAGAGATAGCTGCTTGGTATTTTTGGCTTTCCCCATAAAACAGGAGACAGTTTCCTTCATTCGGAGTCTTCCTAACGTCAGTGCTGAACGTGTGCATGCTGAGTTCTTATCCGAGACTTTTCATATTGTTTGACTGCAGGTATGAATTCTGTGATACTCTTTAATGGAATGACATAAGTATGTATTCATACAAAAAATTGACCAGGTATGTAAATCCTTTAAGACGTTAGCATAAAAACTAGCATTTGGAAAAATAGGCTTCAGGGAGGGAACTGTTTGGCATATCGCTTTGGAGCTGGGATTTTGTTTTAAGGCAGAGTGGATTAAAGGATGAGTTTTCCTAATATTGCAAGGAATAATTTAATCATTTTCTGTGTAAAAAAATTTAAAAATTTCAAATAAGGGTTAAAGGCTCTTTTGAACATCTCTCCAAAAGTAACTGCTTGTATATCTTTCGTTAGTGTGTGTCCTTCTAGACTTGTCTCAGCGTTTTCATGTCTGTTTGCACGGTGATTTTTTTTTTAACTGAAATGAATTATTTTAATTGTGACTGTTCCTGTTTATAGAGATTTGATTTTTGTCCAAAACAGGTAGCGTGTTTTTTCAGTACAACTGGTTATAAAGTTTTATTAACTCTGGTGCCATGGTGTTATTTCTCAGGGCAACAGGCAAATGACCCCTTCGTAAACAATCTCAAAGTAATTGAATCAATTTTGATCTTAGGCTTTACTCTCAGGGGCAAATGAAAACTTTTCCATTCAAAAAAAAAAAAAATATATATATATATATAATGTAGGACAAGTGTGTTCATCGTTTCTTTGCTTATAAAGAGGCAGAAAAGGAAGTGAAAGGCAGGCAGAGTTGCTAGAGCAACAACAGCGGGTATAAACTTACAGAGCTAACATTTAAGGTAGCAGCTTTATTATTTATGAAAGCTGTACAGGGGTGAAGGCAAAGAAAGGAAAGTGTTAATGGAGGCACAGTTTAAATCGCTAATTTCGGGAAGTGGGTGACTTACACAAAATTTATGCCAGCAGTTTTGGACTTATATGGTGAACATTTATTGAGGGCTTTTTATCATGCTGGAGGTACTGGTTAAATAGTAGGGTAAGAAGGCAAATAAGGTCCCTGACGTTATGAAGCTGGCAGGTTAATACTAGTGACATTCAAAGAGGAAATACTGTATTCTTCCCTAGACTGGCCGCAATTGTTACAATGATTCTGAATTCTTGGAAATCAAGGTAGTATTTATTTAACCTTTTTTTAAAAATGTGCATTATAACATGAAAAAGAAGGTATCAAACAAATGGATAACTTGATGAATTATTTAAAAAAATATAAGTCATTTTACATGTCTAGAAGTGTCCTCTTCTACCCTTTCCCAAGGACAGTAGGTCACCTAGCCAGTAACTACCCTGACTTTTGTGGAAATAATTTACTGCTTCTATAGTTTTTACCCTGTAAGTATTAATCTCTAAACAACATAGTTATTTTTGCTTGTTTTTTACCTCTATGCAATAAAATCAAGTAGGTATTGTTGGGGGTCATCTTTCTTTCCATCAGCATCATGTATATTCACAATACTCTGTGTACGTGTTTGTGTGTGTGTGTTTGTGTGTGTGTGTGTAATTGCTTAAATTCCAGCAGCATACTGATTATAAAGACTCATCCATGTTGTTGCTTGGAACTAGAGTTGGTTCATTTTTGTATGAACATACCACAAATTACCCATCTATTGTTAATGGACATCTGGGTTGTTCCTAGTCTGGGGCAATTATGAACAATCCTTAGTTGGGTGTGCATATCTTCAGCCTTACTAGTTGATGCTTTTCTTCCCAAAGTGGCCGCCAATTTACATTCCTTCAGTGGTGTCAGCCTTGAATTCATAATTTACTATTTCTGCAGTTAAACCACAATATGCTTGGATATTTCTTAAATGAATAAGTAAGTGTCATGTAGGCGCCATCTATCTCTGTCCTATCATGTACCAGTATATTTATATTTATTTATATTTTGTTACATGGTTCAGACTAACATACCACCCAAGTACCAGAAGTGGTTTTTCCACTGTATTTGGCTGACATGCCCAATGGAACCTTTCCATTTATTTTGAAAAAGTAGATGAATAGTTATAGAAAATTTGAATAAGCAAAATAAAGTCCTAAAAATAAAAAATATCTAGTGCCTAGAAGACTTTTTAAGGTCCTGAGTAAAAGGTCCTGAGTGAATCCTACTGTGGTAAGTGCTTGCTTGCCTTGTGCCCAGCCCGGTAGGTGAAGGGCAGTGTGTGATACCTGTGGGAACTCAGACCAGTCCTTGATGAAGTTTGCTGAGTGTGGGCCTCACACTCACCTGTGTGCACATGGTCCCAAAGAGAGCAGAACGCAGATGCAGACTCCCGCTCAGTGGCACTTCCAAAGAAAGCACAGCTTCTATGCTGTAGAAACAGATGACACTTCTACAATCTTTACTCTGTTATTTTTCTCCACATCTTCCATTGAATTTAGAAGTAATTTAGAGCTGTGTTCAATACAGAGAATTCCTGCTTTTCATTTTCTCTTGCTTTTGTGTGTGTGTTGCTGGGGAATGAACTCAGGGTCTGTGGATACTAGGCAAGCTCTCTGCCCCTGAGCTGTGGTCCCAACTAAAGAATCCCTTTCTGAATACACAGTTGAGTTGTCGAGTTAACTTTGATGGCCTCTATTTGTGTTGCTAGCTGAATCTGGGTAGAGGTGTGTGTGAGAGAGAAGACAAGGAGAAACAAGTAGGTCATCTCAGGACAGTTACTAAATTCAGGTGTTTGTTAGTTACTATTATGTGCTTAGTACTATATGCTAACAATCCATTTCTACCCTTACAGCAGAGTGTTACATAATTCTGTAGGTTTATAAATACCCTGGGAGACATACCTTTTCTTAGTTGGAAGGATGGTGGAAGAATATTGGCCTACAGCAGATGGGATTTGTAGTTTCTTTTAATTTCTTCTACAAGGTGACTTGGGAAATGGCTAGATTATTCTGTTTTCTGTCTTTATTTGCATAAGTCAGAAAACCTTTTTCTTGCTCAGTACATATTTTTTCAGATTCTTACCATAATTTTACTTTTTAAATCATAATTTATAAAACCACATGTGCATAAATTAGAAGTTTTCAAGAAAAGATAGCCATCAGGTTAGAATTAAAAAGTATTGCTGTACCCTTTTAATCTAAGTTACAGGGTGGAGGGGTGTCATGTTGGAGTGCTTCCAGGAGCACTGAAGTCACGGCCAGTGCCCTGTCACATAGGTTCTACCGAGCTCACCTCTATATGCAGTTCAGGCTGGCCTTGAGCTCACTTTGTAGCCCAGGCTGGTCTCGAATTCACAACAATCCTCCTACCTCAGCCTCCCTGAGTGCTGAGATTATAGATGTGTGCCACCATGCCCGGCCCAGTTCTTGTTCTTACCCTGACAGAGAGCAGTCTCAGTGGACAGAAGGACTTTTTTGATATTCATAAGCAACTGCTAGGCTGACTTCTACCTTTGTCCCAAGCAGTTTCAGCATTAATGACCTGGGTTTTTTTCTTTCTTTTTTTTTTTTTTTTTTTTAACTCCTTTGATCTTCAAGTGTGTGGATGCATGTGAAAAACTCTAACAAAAGCATTCCACACAGTGTATGGCAGAGAGAACATGAGAAGCCCCAAACTTCACCTGGAAGGGAGACCCTAAGGTGAACCTGGTGGAAGTTTTGAGGATGCACAGGTGAAATTAAAACCAGAAGGCTGGGGATGTGGCTCAGTGGTAGAGCTCTTGCCTTGCATGCAGAAGGCCCTGGGTTCGATCCTCAACACCATCAAAAGGAAAAATAAAAAATCAGAATGCTGTTGGCATACAAGTTACATGAAAACTTAAGGTCAGGATTTTTAACTCAGAATTTTGCTTATGTTCCCATGTGCTGGTACCTTTGCCAGTTTCTCACCAACTGACTTATTTCAGCTCTCATATAAAGAGTCCTGCCAGGCACAGGCTAGGGACTAGAGGGGACTTGGACTGATAGCCATTTGTACTAGTTAATTCTCTTCTATTAAAAATAATTTTTACTTTTAAAACTTGAAATAATAAAGAAAATTACAAAGAGAAAATCACCCAATACCTTTCCTTATTGCTCAAAATTGTTGTTCATAATTACTTTAGCCCTCTTATTTAAAAAAAGATTAAAGGGCTAGGTCTGTAGCTCAGTGGTAGAGCACTTTCCTGGCATGTGTGAGGTTCCGGGTTCAATTCCCAATACTGAAAAAAAAAATTAGAGTTTATGTTTTCTAAGGTCACTTTTTTCCCTCACTGAGAAAGCACTCCCGTGAATTTGATGGGTTTCCTTTCAACCCACTTAATACTGTATTTAAATATCCATCTATTTCTCTATCTCTTCGTTTTGCATGTTGCTGGGGGTGAACCCAGGGCAAGGCAAGCACTCTACCCACTGAGTTAAGTCCTCAGCCCTTTTTAATTTTATTTGGAGACAGAGTATCAACTCACTAAGTTGCCCATACTGGCCTGGAATTTGGATCTTTCTGCTTCAGCCTCCCAAGTACCTGGGATTATAGGTGAATGCCAGCAGGCCCAGCCAAAGGATTTTTTTTTTTTTTAAGTAGGGTCTCTCTTTTTTAGTGTAAGCCAGCCTCAAACTCATGATTCTCCTGCTTCAGCCTCCAAGTGCTGGGATTACAGGAGTGAGCCACTATGGCCAACCAAAGAATGCATCTTTGATGAATATTAAAAAGACATAGAAGTTTCAACTAGCCTTCATTTTGCACTGGGAACAGAACTCTAAGAGGTAATGCGGTTGTGTATCATTTCACACCATGTTTCCTGTTTCTCAAAGTTGGAGAAATAGTGTTTTATAGAGTTTCACTTACTTGTTATCAGTTTTCAGCCTAAGATGATCCAAAATGGGAATGAGATGCCATTTCCATTGTATTGGATTGGATCTTAAAGCCAAATAACTGTTGTAACTATTATTTGAAAATAATCTTTAGAAAATATGTTTCTTTTCCTTTTTTTTCCCCTATGATATTGGGGATTAGGACCTTCACACTGAGTTATGTCCCCAGCTATTTTTTGTTTGTTAGACAGGGTCTTGGTGTGTCTGTAAGTAGCCTAGG